CCCCTGTCGTAGCGATGTCAAGGCCCCCCTTCCCCCCCCTACTCCCGGATCCCCGAGTCCATACGGTCTGAAGTGAGGCGTGTCCTTGGCTACGGGTTCTGCCAAAGGCGTGTCAGCCTACTTGCCCAATTAAGGTGGTTAGCTCACGCTTGGAGCAAACTGTTCCGTGGGCATTGGCCTTCGAGGTCGCCGATGTCTCTAACAGGTCTCGGATTTCGCTGCCAGGTTCGGATCTCGTTGCAAGGTCGCGGATTTGGCCGCCAAGGTGCAAAAAGTTGGTAAAGCCTACTAAGAGATCCGCCGCAATGGAATGATGCTCTCAAATCGACTATTTTCCACCATGATCATTCATATTGTATTATTTCCCCAAGGAATTTAATATTAGAAAAAGTTGACGAATGGAGACGCGGGGTATCGATCCCCGTACCTATCGCATGCAAAGCGATCGCTCTACCATGTGAGCTACACCCCCATGTTTGTGGGCCCTCTAGTTGAGCGACAGGTGAGCACGGACTGCAAGCAGGGCGGTGGCTTCACGCGCCATCCGCGACGTGCAGTCTATGCGGTCAGCCTGGTTGTGCTGCTGCACCTCCTCTACGGCGTCAGCAGTAGGATCAGCCGGAGTGGCTGTAAGGGACCCTGACGTGTGCTCGAATAGGGAGACGGCATCCCTAGTGACACTCTGGAGGTAAAGGTGCAAGTCCTCGAGGTAGGACTCAAACTCTATAGGGCGCCCCTTTGCGTCAAACGCTAGTATTGTGATGGTCGCCATCGCAAAGACTAGGTCAAGCAGCAGCACTAGGAACTAGCTGCAGAGCTAGGGACAAGTGGCGGCTTGGGGCGACAGGACGGGTGGCATGGCCGTAACAGGTGACGCTGTAGTATGTAGCGCGAGAGCGCGTCGCGGCATTGCGGTGGGCAAGGTGGCGCGGCAGTGCAATTCGATAGCGCCGCACGGCGGAGCGTGGTGTGCAGCAGCAGCGCAAGGTTGGCAGCGGCGGCGGTGCAGTGCACAGGCAGCAGCGGCACAAGGGTTGCAGCAGCAGTAGCGCGGTGCACGGGCGGCAGCAACGGCCGTCAGTGGCAGCAGTGGTGCAAAGGCGGCAACAGCAGTGGTGTGGCGCACGGGCGGCAACAGCGCACAGGCAGCAACGGCGCACGGGCAACGCACGGGCGGCGGCGGCAGGGCGACGCACGTGCAGCAGCGGTGCACGGGCAGCGGCAACGCGGGGCGCACGTCAGCGCAGGGCATGCGAAGGGCAGCGTGTGTGGGGTAGCGGTGCGCGGGGCAGCGGTGCGCAAGGCAGTGGCGCAGTGGCGGTGCAGCGGCGCGAAGGGCAGCGTCGCGCAGGGCAGAGGCGCGCAAGGTAGGGGCGGGCAGGGCACCGATGTGTGGGGCAGCAGCGCGCGAGGTAGCGGTGCGCGGGGCAGCGGCGCGCGGGGCAACGGCGTGCGGGGTAGTGAAGCGCATGCGGGGCAGGACAGAGCGCGCAGGGCAGAGCAGCGTGGTCGCGTGGCGCAGTGGGCAATTGGCGGCGCGCGTGAAGAGGCAGAACGAAGAACCTAGCGATGATACCATGTTAAAGTTAGAAATAGCGGAATGATGTTGAACTAGCAAGAGGGGACTACAAATAGTAAACCCTAGAAAATTGTACTCTCAATGGATAACTTCAATATAGCCTAAGAATATATATAGTGCGACATCTGTTGTCGCTGCGACTTCTTCTGCCGCTGCTGGCCGTGCCACAACCCCATCTATTGCTTCAACTACAACCCTGAAGACTTTTCAATGGAGGTGGAGGGCGTGTGGGAGTAGATGTGGTGGATGGTGCGTCTTCATCACTCTCATCTGCTTCTGTTTCTCCGCCCTCCTCATCGATCCCGTCCTCATCCTCCTCAACATCTGCGCCCTCTATTTCCCCATCCCCATCACCCTCCTCCCCCTCATGTCTCTTAACGAAAAGAAGAATATGTTAATCCGCGCGATAGATTGCCGTGACGTAGAGGTCGTTTGACGGGGAGCATGCGCGGACCTTGTAATTCCTTCGCAGGCCCTCCCCCGTCTTTTGTGGCCAGCTATTGGGCGAAGCGTCTGAGTGGGTGCCGCTGTCCTTTTCCCCATTCGCCCCCAGTGGCCCCTGTCGTAGCGATGTCAAGCCCCCCCTTCCCCCCCCTACTCCCGGATCCCCGAGTCCATACGGTCTGAAGTGAGGCGTGTCCTTGGCTACGGGTTCTGCCAAAGGCGTGTCAGCCTACTTGCCCAATTAAGGTGGTTAGCTCACGCTTGGAGCAAACTGTTCCGTGGGCATTGGCCTTCGAGGTCGCCGATGTCTCTAGCAGGTCTCGGATTTCGCTGCCATGTTCGGATCTCGTTGCAAGGTCGCGGATTTGGCCGCCAAGGTGCAAAAAGTTGGTAAAGCCTACTAAGAGATCCGCCGCAATGGAATGATGCTCTCAAATCGACTATTTTCCACCATGATCATTCATATTGTATTATTTCCCCAAGGAATTTAATATTAGAAAAAGTTGACAAATGGAGACGCGGGGTATCGATCCCCGTACCTATCGCATGCAAAGCGATCGCTCTACCATGTGAGCTACACCCCCATGTTTGTGGGCCCTCTAGTTGAGCGACAGGTGAGCACGGACTGCAAGCAGGGCGGTGGCTTCACGCGCCATCCGCGACGTGCAGTCTATGCGGTCAGCCTGGTTGTGCTGCTGCACCTCCTCTACGGCGTCAGCAGTAGGATCAGCCGGAGTGGCTGTAAGGGACCCTGACGTGTGCTCGAATAGGGAGACGGCATCCCTAGTGACACTCTGGAGGTAAAGGTGCAAGTCCTCGAGGTAGGACTCAAACTCTATAGGGCGCCCCTTTGCGTCAAACGCTAGTATTGTGATGGTCGCCATCGCAAAGACTAGGTCAAGCAGCAGCACTAGGAACTAGCTGCAGAGCTAGGGACAAGTGGCGGCTTGGGGCGACAGGACGGGTGGCATGGCCGTAACAGGTGACGCTGTAGTATGTAGCGCGAGAGCGCGTCGCGGCATTGCGGTGGGCAAGGTGGCGCGGCAGTGCAATTCGATAGCGCCGCACGGCGGAGCGTGGTGTGCAGCAGCAGCGCAAGGTTGGCAGTGGCGGCGGTGCAGTGCACAGGCAGCAGCGGCACAAGGGTTGCAGCAGCAGTAGCGCGGTGCACGGGCGGCAGCAACGGCCGTCAGTGGCAGCAGTGGTGCAAAGGCGGCAACAGCAGTGGTGTGGCGCACGGGCGGCAACAGCGCACAGGCAGCAACGGCGCACGGGCAACGCACGGGCGGCGGCGGCAGGGCGACGCACGTGCAGCAGCGGTGCACGGGCAGCGGCAACGCGGGGCGCACGTCAGCGCAGGGCATGCGAAGGGCAGCGTGTGTGGGGTAGCGGTGCGCGGGGCAGCGGTGCGCAAGGCAGTGGCGCAGTGGCGGTGCAGCGGCGCGAAGGGCAGCGTCGCGCAGGGCAGAGGCGCGCAAGGTAGGGGCGGGCAGGGCACCGACGTGTGGGGCAGCAGCGCGCGAGGTAGCGGTGCGCGGGGCAGCGGCGCGCGGGGCAACGGCGTGCGGGGTAGTGAAGCGCATGCGGGGCAGGACAGAGCGCGCAGGGCAGAGCAGCGTGGTCGCGTGGCGCAGTGGGCAGTTGGCGGCGCGCGTGAAGAGGCAGAACGAAGAACCTAGCGATGATACCATGTTAAAGTTAGAAATAGCGGAATGATGTTGAACTAGCAAGAGGGGACTACAAATAGTAAACCCTAGAAAATTGTACTCTCAATGGATAACTTCAATATAGCCTAAGAATATATATAGTGCGACATCTGTTGTCGCTGCGACTTCTTCTGCCGCTGCTGGCCGTGCCACAACCCCATCTATTGCTTCAACTACAACCCCGAAGACTTTTCAATGGAGGTGGAGGGCGTGTGGGAGTAGATGTGGTGGATGGTGCATCTTCATCACTCTCATCTGCTTCTGTTTCTCCGCCCTCCTCATCGATCCCGTCCTCATCCTCCTCAACATCTGCGCCCTCTATTTCCCCATCCCCATCACCCTCCTCCCCCTCATGTCTCTTAACGAAAGGAAGAATATGTTAATCCGCGCGATAGATTGCCGTGACGTAGAGGTCGTTTGACGGGGAGCATGCGCGGACCTTGTAATTCCTTCGCAGGCCCTCCCCCGTCTTTTGTGGCCAGCTATTGGGCGAAGCGTCTGAGTGGGTGCCGCTGTCCTTTCCCCCCATTCGCCCCCAGTGGCCCCTGTCGTAGCGATGTCAAGGCCCCCCTTCCCCCCCCTACTCCCGGATCCCCGAGTCCATACGGTCTGAAGTGAGGCGTGTCCTTGGCTACGGGTTCTGCCAAAGGCGTGTCAGCCTACTTGCCCAATTAAGGTGGTTAGCTCACGCTTGGAGCAAACTGTTCCGTGGGCATTGGCCTTCGAGGTCGCCGATGTCTCTAACAGGTCTCGGATTTCGCTGCCAGGTTCGGATCTCGTTGCAAGGTCGCGGATTTGGCCGCCAAGGTGCAAAAATTTGGTAAAGCCTACTAAGAGATCCGCCGCAATGGAATGATGCTCTCAAATCGACTATTTTCCACCATGATCATTCATATTGTATTATTTCCCCAAGGAATTTAATATTAGAAAAAATTGATGAATGGAGACGCGGGGTATCGATCCCCGTACCTATCGCATGCAAAGCGATCGCTCTACCATGTGAGCTACACCCCCTTGTTTGTGGCCACGACTAAAATTATATTGACTAAAGATATTCCCTCGAAAAGCCGACGTTTCATTAGGCTGAAAGCGATAGGATCGCGGACCCGCTGTTGATCATGGCACACACACACGCACGCCATGCTCCATCTTTTCGCCTGCCAATTTCGCTCGCCGCATTCGTCGTGGCGACGATGCTTTGCGACTGGCCGTGCGATTTGTCCAGCAAGACTGCATCGACGGTCGTGAGCGCTCTGGAAGGGGCGGCAGGAATGGAGCACGCCATGTCGTTGTATCGGGTGAGACAAAAGCGGGAGTGCGCGCAGGCAGCCGCAACTGTTTTCCCATCCAGCAGCGCCCCTTGGTACCGCTGTGAACCGCACTCGATTGCTCTGTCCGCCACAGCCTTCCACGAACTGGAAGCGCGCTCCCCACCGTTCGACCCTTCATGGCCCACCCACCGTCGCCCTCTCGCCCTCTGCCGCCGCCCCTCAACAACTCCGCTTTCTTATTCTCGCCGCCGTCTACTCTCGATCCTTTCCCCTGCTCCTCCTTGCTCACTCTTCCTCCCCATTCCCCTTCCCCTCTCTCTTCCCATTCGTTCCCCCCTCTACCTTCCCCGCTCCCATCCCCCCCATTCCCCCCCCCTCCCCCCCGACCCCCAAACACCCCCTCAGGCCTGGGCGGACGCCTACGGGCTCTCCGCCGACTCGCTGCTTCCGCCCTCCCCCCTCTCCCTTCCGCCCTCCCTCCCCCCCGCCCCTCATCTCGAGGACTGCGCCGCGCTCACGGCGCTGCGCCAGCAGGCGGAGCAGCGGGGGGAAGGGGGCGAGCCGCCAGCTTGGGCGGACCCACAGCCCGCTCAAGAAGAAAAGCGCGGGGCGCAAGAGGGAGGGGCGCAGGGGGACGGGGGGGCGGCGTGCTGCAGGCGCGGAGCCTCTGGGGAGGCGAGCGGCGAGTTCAAGGCGTCAGCGACGGTTGGCGCTGCCGCAGGCGGCTCTGCCTCTCCTTCCCTCCCTGCTTGCTGCTCGTGTGTTCCCCAGCCGCCCTGGGTGCGTGCGTGGTGCGTGGTGGGTTGTGGATGGTGGGTGGGCAAACAGGTGGGTGGGTGGGTGGGCGGGTGGGTGGGTGGCGTGGGCAGACGGGTGGGCGGGTAGGTGGGCGGGTAGGTGGGCGGGTAGGTGGGCGGGTAGGTGGGCGGCGTGGCCTGCTGAGGCTGGGGGGCATCTTTCGCCCTCTGCTACACCTCGGCATCTGCACTCCCGCCCCCACTCACTCTTGGGTCCATCCCTGACCTCCTTCCTCTGTTCCCCCTCTCCAACCATTTCTTCCTTCACACACCCCTGCTTTCCATAACCACACTCCCCATGCCTTGCGTTCCTGCTCCGTGCTGCTCCGTGCTGTTCCCCCTGTCTCCTGCTTGCATTGGTAGACAGTGCAGTGAGATTTGGAGTGGTGCAGAGGGGTGTTCGCTCTTCGCCCCCCTTCTTATCTTCTTCTTTTCCCCGTTTCTTCTCGTCTTCTTGTGTGTTCTCCTCCTCTCTGGCGCCCGTGGCCGGGGCGTCACATCGGCAGGTGCGGGGGGCGGACAGTGACAATCTGGCGTTAACCAGAGTGGTGCAGAGGGATGTGTGGGAGTGGCAGTTCCCCCCCTCCTGTGCCAACCGCCGCCTGCTAGTGGTGCCATGGCCTGAGGACCAGTGGCATGGCATGGGATCGCAGGTACTCATGCTGCCATGGCATGGCATGGCATGGCATGGCATGGGATGGCATGGCATGGCATGGGATGGCATGGCATGGCATGGCATGGCATGGCATGGCATGGCATGGCATGGCATGGCATGGCATGGCATGGCATGGCATGGCATGGCATGGCATGGCATGACATGGCATGGCATGGCATGGCATGATGAGGCATGGAATGGAATGGCATGGCGTGCACTACTGGGGGCCACGACTGATGCTCCCGGGCAGTACACGAAGCAACAGTGTGTCCCTCCCGCTGTTGCTTATGCTTGTGTTATCGAATGCGCGGTGGCCCTGTGTCCCGCCACTCCTTGACGCGCCCAAACCCCGGTGCTTGAGCTCGTCCCTCTCATGATTCCCGCTCTCTCACTCACCTGCCTCTGTTGAAACCACCTGGGATTCACCTGGGCGTCAGGTGCACATCATGGCAGTGCTGCTGAGCGTGGCGCTCTCCTCCAATCGCATCCTCGTGCCGCTGCCCGCCTCCTATGGCCGCGCCAACTCCACCCACTGCCACGGTCAGTCACCCAGTGCCACGGTCAGTCACCTACTGCCACGGTCAGTCACCTACTGCCACGGTCAGTCACCTACTGCCACGGTCAGTCACCTACTGCCACGGTCAGTCACCCGCACTTGTGCTCGCACTCGCACCCCACCACCCGCACACGACCAGCCCCACACACTACCAGCCCCACACACTACCAGCCCCACACACTACCAGCCCCACACACTACCAGCCCCACGGTCAGCCTGCCTGGGCTAGCCCAGTCCAGGCACACATCTCCCTGACTCCACCTACTCGCTTCCATCTTGGCCCTGCCTCGGCCCCAACCCGACCTTCCCTCCTCAGCATCCCTTGTTTGCTTGCTACAGCTCACTGTGATGTGCGCTCACTGTGATGTGCGCTCACTGTGATGTGCGCTCACTGTGATGTGCGCTCACTGTGATGTGCGCTCACTGTGATGTGCGCTCACTGTGATGTGCGCTCACTGTGATGTGCGCTCACTGTGATGTGCGCTCACTGTGATGTGCGCTCACTGTGATGTGCGCTCACTGTGATGTGCGCTCACTGTGATGTGCGCTCACTGTGATGTGCGCTCACTGTGATGTGCGCTCACTGTGATGTGCGCTCACTGTGATGTGCGCTCACTGTGATGTGCGCTCACTGTGATGTGCGCTCACTGTGATGTGCGCTCACTGTGATGTGCGCTCACTGTGATGTGCGCTCACTGTGATGTGCGCTCACTGTGATGTGCGCTCACTGTGATGTGCGCTCACTGTGATGTGCGCTCACTGTGATGTGCGCTCACTGTGATGTGCGCTCACTGTGATGTGCGCTCACTGTGATGTGCGCTCACTGTGATGTGCGCTCACTGTGATGTGCGCTCACTGTGATGTGCGCTCACTGTGATGTGCGCTCACTGTGATGTGCGCTCACTGGTGATGTGCGCTCACTGTGATGTGCGCTCACTGTGATGTGCGCTCACTGTGATGTGCGCTCACTGTGATGTGCGCTCACTGTGATGTGCGCTCACTGTGATGTGCGCTCACTGTGATGTGCGCTCACTGTGATGTGCGCTCACTGTGATGTGCGCTCACTGTGATGTGCGCTCACTGTGATGTGCGCTCACTGTGATGTGCGCTCACTGTGATGTGCGCTCACTGTGATGTGCGCTCACTGTGATGTGCGCTCACTGTGATGTGCGCTCACTGTGATGTGCGCTCACTGTGATGTGCGCTCACTGTGATGTGCGCTCACTGTGATGTGCGCTCACTGTGATGTGCGCTCACTGTGATGTGCGCTCACTGTGATGTGCGCTCACTGTGATGTGCGCTCACTGTGATGTGCGCTCACTGTGATGTGCGCTCACTGTGATGTGCGCTCACTGTGATGTGCGCTCACTGTGATGTGCGCTCACTGTGATGTGCGCTCACTGTGATGTGCGCTCACTGTGATGTGCGCTCACTGTGATGTGCGCTCACTGTGATGTGCGCTCACTGTGATGTGCGCTCACTGTGATGTGCGCTCACTGTGATGTGCGCTCACTGTGATGTGCGCTCACTGTGATGTGCGCTCACTGTGATGTGCGCTCACTGTGATGTGCGCTCACTGTGATGTGCGCTCACTGTGATGTGCGCTCACTGTGATGTGCGCTCACTGTGATGTGCGCTCACTGTGATGTGCGCTCACTGTGATGTGCGCTCACTGTGATGTGCGCTCACTGTGATGTGCGCTCACTGTGATGTGCGCTCACTGTGATGTGCGCTCACTGTGATGTGCGCTCACTGTGATGTGCGCTCACTGTGATGTGCGCTCACTGTGATGTGCGCTCACTGTGATGTGCGCTCACTGTGATGTGCGCTCACTGTGATGTGCGCTCACTGGTGATGTGCGCTCACTGGTGATGTGCGCTCACTGTGATGTGCGCTCACTGTGATGTGCGCTCACTGTGATGTGCGCTCACTGTGATGTGCGCTCACTGTGATGTGCGCTCACTACACTCGCTACCACTCTGTCATCAACTCTTATGTCGCCTCCCGAGTATTGCATGTGCTGCTGCGATACCTGTGCATGTAGTGTGAAAACATTCCTTGTTCAAACGAACCCACAGCAACATCGGGCTGGTATGCTCTCCACACAGTCCTTGGTCAGATGCATCGGTCACACGGTCCCAAAGCAGCATCGGTCAGATGCTTTTCATTCGGAAATGTCTCTCTCAAGTTTCCGGTTATTCAAGAGACATTCTTACCGCCTTGGCGTCTACTGTACCTCAGTCAAATGGGGTGTGCCAGAGGAGATCCTCAGTCAAATGGGGTGTGCCAGAGGAGGTCCTCAGTCAAATGGGGTGTGCCAGAGGAGGTCCTCAGTCAAATGGGGTGTGCCAGAGGAGATCCTCAGTTAAGTCGATGCCCAAGCTCATTGTCGAAGCCCAAGCTCATTGTCGAAGCCCAAGCTCATTGTCGAAGCCCAAGCTCATTGTAGCCCAAATGGTCTGTTGCACAACATGTTTCAATGGGCATGTAACGCTGTTGACCACTTCATGAGTTCAAGTACCGACTTGTAGTCTCACTTGTCGCAGAGCTGCACACGCATTCAGAGACTGCTTGCAAAGTGTTGGACAGGTCGTCACATCCAAATTCATGCTCGTTGCTAGACGCATACTCGCGTCTTTGCTCTGCACCACCCACATGGCCCACATGCCACAACATTAACACCCTCACCTCTCCTCCCAGCCGTCGCACCAAGGGCGATCCATGCTTGACCACAGGCATGTTCAAAGGCGCACACGCCTCTCAACCCCCACTGCTCATCCCCCTCCGCTTGCCCCCACCAGCCATGGGCCACGGCAGCTCCTGGTCGTGCTTCTTCGCCCCCATCGCCTCCCCTCTCTGCTCCCAACAGGTCGCCCTCGCCCTCTCCGCCAATCAGCTGCCGCCATGTGTCGCGCCGGTGGAGGGCTACAGGGCGGCAGCAGCATCAGTGGAGAGGGTGGTGTGTGTGAACACGTCGGCCCTCGATGGCCTCAAGTTCGAAGCCTCTGCTGCCGGGTCAGTGGCACACAGGCCTTGGACGGGTGTGGATGGGTGCAGTGTGGTTGGATGTCGCAGCAGGTGCCGGTGCTGGTGCCGGGCTTGTGTGCAGGTGGCGGGCTTGTGTGCTTCATGTGCGTGTTGTGAGGAGCCTTGGGCATTCCAGAGCGGGCAGGTGGGAGGCACAGCAGTGAGCTGAGGTGCTGCCTCACCGGCCTCGTGGCTGCCACCTGGGGTGCTGGCAGCAGAGCCCTTGATGTTCCTTCCCTTGTTGAGCGCCTGCTGTGCTTCTCATGCACCCCTCCGTTCCTCCGTGTGTGTTGAAACTCGAATGGTTTGGCATCCGGCATCACGTTGGCATACATGCATCATTATCCACACATGGCATCGCATTGTACGGCATGGCACGTCACGGCATGGGATGGCATGACTTGGCATAGCATGGCACGGCACGGTACGGCACGCATGGCATGGCATGGCATGGCATGGCATGGCATTGCATGGCATGGCATGGCATGGCATGGCACGGCATGGCATGGCACGGCATGGCATGGCATGGCATGGCATGGCATGGCATGGCACGGCATGGCATGGCACTGTATAGCATGGCATGGCATGGCATGGCATGGCATGGCATGGCATGGCATGGCATGGCATGGCATGGCATGGCATGGTATGGCATGGTATGGCATGGCATGGCACGGCATGGCATGGCATGGCATGGCATGGTATGGTATGGCATGGCATGGCATGGCATGGCATGGTATGGTATGACATGCATGGTGTGGCATGGCATGGCATGGTATGGTATGGTATGGCATGGCATGGCATGGCATGGTATGGTATGGCATGGCATGGCATGGCATGGCATGGCGTGGCATGGCATGGCATGGCGTGGCATGGCATGGCATGGCGTGGCATGGCATGGCATGGCATGGCATGGCATGGCGTGGCATGGCATGGCATGGCGTGGCATGGCATGGCATGGCATGGCGTGGCATGGCATGGCATGGCGTGGCATGGCATGGCATGGCGTGGCATGGCATGGCATGGCGTGGCATGGCATGGCATGGCATGGCATGGGTGGCAGGCTGTGGGGCGAGGCATACGCCAAGGACCCTGATGTGGTGGAGCAGCGAGGGGAGGTGCAGCTGGAGGGCACAGAGCACAAGAAGGTGGGTGGGAGGAGGACCAGACGGAGGGCAATGCACCACACAACTTTCCCACAAGCACAATGCACCACACAACTTTCCCACAAGCACAATGCACCACACAACTTTCCCGCACGAACCTTGCACCTTTTTTTCACTAAGGAAGGCGTGGCATGCCATGGCGTCGCCTCTTTGGTGCATTTTCTTCCTGTCCACGTGTGGTGTGGCGTCTGTGCCCAACCTCCACTTGTTCCTTGCTGTGTGCTCATCACCACCTGCACTCCTGCCGCCTGCAATTTACTTCTCAACTTTCAGGGGTATGAAGGCCGCTCCCACTCCTCTCTTCTCCTTCTGTTCCCTCCTTTTCTTCTCGGAGCGCTGCAGTTACACTGGTGGCGGGCGCAGGCAGTGCGCTTCATGCTGAGGTGGCCATCAGCCCATCTCTGCCACGTCATCAACCAACAGAGACACACCGCCTACGGCATGCACGTCGCCAATCGCATGGCGCGGCAAGCCGAGCTTCACTCTCAGCTGCTGCAGTCACTGCCCCCTCTGCCCCCACCCAACAGCTCGGATGCTCCCAGTGCCGCCGCTGCTGCTGAGGCTACCACCATGGCTGCAGCAGTTGCAGCCGCTGCGGCAGCTAGGTTTGCTGGTGAACATTCATCCACACATTCCACTGCCGCTGCTGCCGCTGCTGCTGCTGCTGTTGCTGCTGCAGCAGGTGGTGGTGGTGCGAGTGGGTCATCGCTGTCATGTGAGCCGTACATGGTGCGGCCGATAGTGAGCATTCATGTGAGGCAGAGCGACAAGCAGGTGGAGATGGGTGTGTGGTCCTTCGCCGCCCACATGCTGTTTGCCGCCCGCCTGCAGCGCACCCATGTGGACCTCAAGCACGTGTGGCTCTCCACCGAAATGCAGGCGAGTCACCATGTCAAGGCACTGCTGCCCATGTGCTCTTTGCCGTTCCCACTCGCCCACTCCCTCGCACCCTCCCGACCTCTCTCCTTCCATTCTTGCTTCCCTCTTTCCACTCTGCTTTTCTTCCTCCTCTCCCTCACTGGCTTGCGCTCTCTCCTGTTTCCTGCTCTGCCTCTCTCCCTGCATCCCACTCTCCCGCCCTCTGCCCGCGAGTGGTGAGCGTGGGGCCACCCCTCTACTGCTTGCTTGCCCCACTCACCATGGGCTGCATGCCATTTCCCTCACTGCGCTTGCTGCACTTGGTGCCCAACCAAGCCGCCACCTGCTCCCATTGCGCCCACCTCCTCCGGACACCTCTCTGCCTCCACATGCATAACACCCTATCCCCACTCTCCCCCTCACACCCCTTCCCTCCGCACCCTCCCCCCCACCACGGTGCAGTCAGTGATCAACGAGGCGGCCACGCCCTTGTATGCGGGGTGGACCTTCCTCTACGCCCCCAACGGGCGCCTGCCAGAGGGTGCACTGGACCCGCACGCATACGACGCGCTCCAGTCGCCCGCTGCCAGCCTGGCGAGCTTGCTGATCGCAGCGCAGTGCGATGCCTTCATCGGGTCGCTGGGGTCCAACTGGAGTCGCCTCATCAACGAGCTCAGAGCCACTAGTGGCCGGCTGTACAGTGGATTCGTGGCTATGAACCTGGGCGAGTGGTGACTGGATGCCATGAACCTGGGCGAGTGGTGACTGGATGCCATGAACCTGGGCAAGTGTAAAACCATGGCCCTTGTAACATTGGGTACCATATTAGGAGTGAAATATAATGGTGTCCTATTCATATTACTGTCATCTCGTGGATAGTGGACGTGTGGCATACCGGATATTCTAGCTCACACTGCTAGGATCAGGGGTGCTTCTCTCATGCAGCGAAGAATGGGTTTCATACAAATTATATCAACTTTACGAGAAAACCAACATACCATCGGTACCCCATACGATTCAGAGGAATGAATTAAAACCCGCGTCTCATATTTCTTGTTTCCAACCAAAGGTAATACGCTTGAAACCGGGTAACCAAACAATCACTCGCAAAACACTCGCGTTTGGTTTGGCGCAGGTGCGACTGGCTGCAAACCAAACAGTTCGGTAGGTGCAGGTGCCTGACTACCAAGCCTCGTTTGCGACGGACTGAGAATGCGACACACAGCCCAGAATCGAGCGTATTACAGAGCTGGAAAAATATGAGACTGCAAATTCGGACAGGTTGTAGGTGGAGGAACATACGAGCACCGATTTCTCTAGCGACTAAGTCTCATATTTCTTATGGCATCCCTAGGTATATTCCACCGTCAAACGTGACAATACCTTGTACCTCTCGTTTTCGATCACTTCTATCTAGAGGTCTCCGCCTCTCCTATTGAACATACGCACTAAAAGTCCGTCCATCGCCAGCACTGGTCCTCATTACTGCAATAAGATCACCACCCTGCCTGGACCAAGGTGTATTGCAGTAACGCTTCCTCCTGCCGATTTTTGACCGAAGGGACACGGCGGAAAGGGAGCAATTAGGACGACATTGGAAGCGACGCGACGGAAAAGCGAGGCCTAGGACTGGACGCGGTCGCCACATTCCCACGAGAAGGAACGTGCTAGTAAAGTCCAACGACACTGCTGGCGTGGTGAGCACCCCGGTGACGGGGCGTAGGGTACGGTTGTGGAAAACAGGTGCAATACCACCAATGCGACTTCACGAACCACATTTACCAGCTTATAGGAGAGAATTGGCATCCGTGGTGAGAGAAGGGGAAACCGTCACGACATTGAGCACGGCAAAAATGACGACTGCGAAAAACGACACCCCATCCCATTCGCCCGCGGTCCTCTACCCCCGTTACTATCACTCCTCCTCCTCGTCGCGTTCCCTCCCCGACCCCGTCACTATCACTCCTCCTCGTCGCGTACCCTTCCCTTCCCCCGTCACTATCACTCCTCCTCCTCGTCGCATTCCCTTCCCTTCCCCCGTCACTATCACTCCTCCTCCTCGTCGCGTTCCCTCCCCTTCCCCCGTCACTATCACTCCTCCTCCTCGTCGCATTCCGTTCCCTTCCCCCGTCACCATCTCTCCTCCTCCTCGTCGCATTCCCTCCCCTTCCCCCGTCACTATCACTCCTCCTCCTCGTCGCATTCCCTTCCCTTCCCCCGTCACTATCACTCCTCCTCCTCGTCGCGTTCCCTTCCCTTCCCCCGTCACTATCACTCCTCCTCCTCGTCGCGTTCCCTCCCCGACCCCGTCACTATCACTCCTCCTCCACGTCGCGTTCCCTTCCCTTCCCCCGTCACTATCACTCCTCCTCCTCGTCGCATTCCCTCCCCTTTCCCCGTCACTATCACTCCTCCTCCTCGTCGCGTTCCCTTCCCTTCCCCCGTCACTATCACTCCTCCTCCTCGTCGCATTCCCTTCCCTTCCCCCGTCACTATCACTCCTCCTCCACGTCGCGTTCCCTTCCCTTCCCCCGTCACTATCACTCCTCCTCCTCGTCGCATTCCCTCCCCTTCCCCCGTCACTATCACTCCTCCTCCTCGTCGCGTTCCCTCCCCTTCCCCCGTCACTATCACTCCTCCTCCTCGTCGCATTCCCTTCCCTTCCCCCGTCACTTTCACTCCTCCTCCTCGTCGCATTCCCTTCCCTTCCCCCGTCACAATCACTCCTCCTCCTCGTCGCATTCCCTTCCCTGACAACCGTCAATATCACTCCTCCTCCTCGTCGCGTTCCCTTCCCTTCCCCCGTCACTATCACTCCTCCTCCTCGTCGTGTTCCCTCCCCTTCCCCCGTCACTATCACTCCTCCTCCTCGTCGCATTCCCTTCCCTTCCCCCGTCACTATCACTCCTCCTCGTCGCATTCCCTTCCCTTCCCCCGTCACTATCACTCCTCCTCCTCGTCGCATTCCCTTCCCTGACAACCGTCAATATCACTCCTCCTCCTCGTCGCGTTCCCTTCCCTTCCCCCGTCACTATCACTCCTCCTCCTCGTCGCATTCCCTTCCCTTCCCCCGTCACCATCACTCCTCCTCGTCGCGTACCCTTCCCTTCCCCCGTCACTATCACTCCTCCTTGTCGCATTCCCTTCCCTTCCCCCGTCTCTATCACTCGTCCTCCTCGTCGCGTTCCCTTCCCTTCCCCCGTCACTATCACTCCTCCTCCTCCTCGCGTTCCCTTCCCTTCCCCCTCGCTACCGTGCCCGTCCCCTCCCCCCAACCACGCCCTGCCCGTCCCCTTCCCCCGTCACTATCACTCCTCCTCCTCCTCGCGTTCCCTTCCCTTCCCCCTCGCTACCGTGCCCGTCCCCTCCCCCCAACCACGCCCTGCCCTCCCCTTCCCCTTCCCCATCCCCGTCACCGTCACCTCCATCGTTGTGGCGTTCCTTCCCCATCCCCCCTGCTAGCGTGCCCGTCCCCCCCCCACAGGCGCCCTCTCCTTCCCCATCGGGTGCACGCCCCTTCCCCGTCGCCATCTCTCACTTCCCCCTCGTTAGCTCCCCCTTTCCCCTCTGCTAGCACTCCCTTCCCCCGTCACTATAGACGAGCGGCAGGAGCAACGGACCCACTGGCGACTGGTGCAACAGGCTCACTGGCTACCGAAGCAAGGGCGACGGACTACAGGCGCTGCAGGCGACACGACAGCTACCTTCACACAACCTCCTCCAGCTGCCCCACACCCTCGACACACACCCCTTGCTCAAACCCTAGTTCCACTCCCACGTCACCCCCCTAGCACCACTCCTTCGGCTCCCACACACCCACCCCCCTGAGCGGCAGCTGCAGCAGCGGGAGACGGAGGAGGAGGAGGAGCAGGGGACGGCGCACAGAATCTGCACCCCCATACCCCCCACCCCCAAACCCTAATCCAGGAGAACGGGCAGCAGCAGGGGTGGGGCGCCGTCAGAACCACGGGGGACAGCGGGCAGCGCAGGGGAAGAGGAAACAGGGCGCCCACGGGCCTGGCGCAGCCCGTACGAACCGCGCGCGGGCGGCCCGAGGCGCGCCCTGGCCTGGCGCAGTCCGTACGGGCCGCGCGCGGGCTGTACGGGCCGCGCTCGGGCCCTACGCAGGTCGCGCAGGCCGCGACGGGCGACGGGGGGCGACGCGCGGGTCCCCGTCGCCCGTCGCAGCGCCTCCCAGGAGCGACGCGCGGAGTGACGGGGCAGAAAGCCGCCGCGCGCCTCGGGGCGCACGGCGGGCAGAAAACCGCCGCGCGCCTCGGGGCGCACGGCGGGCAGAAAACCGCCGCACGCTCCGAGCGCGCGGCGGGATGAAAAATCCGTCGCACGCCACGGGGCGTGCAACACACAGAGTAGCAGTAGCAGCGGAAGCAGTGAGGTGGGCCCTCAGGCCAGGAGCGTAGATGCTCTGAAACCATGTCAAGATTCTAGGCAAGAATGAGGAGCCATAGGTAGGAAAACCCTAGCTAGGCAAAAGAGAGTTTAGGCAAAGAGGGGTTTCACTAGCAGCAATGAGGATACATATAGCAAAACCTTATATGGGTTGTACTCGCTATAGAGCACCCCATTACAGGCTAGAGAATAACATTTTGACATAGTAGGTCGCACCGAAACACGTCTCTTCTACCTGCCCCGCATTAGAATCTCACGAAGCCCATGTTGCAAACTTTTCACAAAGTGGCTACGATGACATAGCATCCCAAGAGGATGCTTCAAAATCAATCTCATCCGGGACTTTTCACACGTGGAGGAAGTACTCGATATCGTGCGCGCAACACTCCAGGTACCCCTCATCTCCCTTCTCCGGATACAAAGACCCGATAGCAACGTATACTACCCATGGTAGTTTGACCTTGCCGTGTTCACGATCGCTCAATAGGTCCGAGTAGTCAAGGTAACACCTGAACCTATGGTGCTTTGGCTCCATAGCTGACCCATCTGCACATTTTCTGTGTTTGCACCACAACACTCACGGACCAGGGCTTCAACCGTCCGCCCGGCTGCACTCGGATGCACTTGGCTGTCAAATGGCAGGCCCAACTTGCTAGCACCCCACTGTTCAAGCACTTCATACTGCTTAGGGAACGCACGGGCAAAATGGGGCAAAGACCAGCTGTATAATGGGAGAACCCTGACAGGGGGCTTTCGAGTTGGTTGGAGCATGCGATGAAAGCATTGGATTCCTTGGATGCTTGGTGGGGAGGGCTGGCTCGTGTTCAAACGACACTTGCCCATGGTGGGGCTGTCCGCACCAACTTCGTCAACTTCGACACCAGCCTCATCAACTTCAACCAACTCATTCACTCTGCCCAGAAGCCCACGCCGTCGCTTCAACATGTTTTGCTCACTGCATGATGGGACACAACAAGGCACCGAGGTTAGCTACAAGCATACAACATGCTGTCATGGTGTGTGAAGGGGCAACCCACCTAGGAGTGAGACGTCGCCGGAGTGTGCGATGTATTTTGGGACGTGCACTGCTGCCATGGTGTGGGGACGCAGGGAGGGGGTTGGGGGGAAGCAGGGAAGGGGATGGGGGGAAGGAGGGAGGGGGATGGGAGGGGAAGAAGAGAAGGGGACATGGGGAAGGAGGGAAGGGGAGGGGGGAAGCAGAAAACCGTATGGGGGAAGCAGGGATTGGGATAAGGGGAAAGGATGAAGAGGATGGGGGACGCAGGGAGGGGGTTGGGGGGAAGCAGTTAAGGGGATGGTGGGGGGAAGGAGGGAGGGGGATGGGAGGGGAAGAAGAGAAGGGGACATGGGGAAGGAGGGAAGGGGAGGGGGGAAGCAAAAAACCGTACGGGGGGAAGCAGGGTTTGGGATAAGGGGAAAGAATGAAGAGGATGGGGGACGCAGGGAGGGGGTTGGGGGGAAGCAGGGAAGGGGATGGGGGGAAGCTGGGCACGGGATGGGGGGAAGGAGGGAGGGGGATGGGGGGGGAAGCAGAGAAGGGGACATGGGGAAGGAGGGAAGGGGAGGGGGGAAGCAAAAAACCGAATGGGGGGAAGCAGGGATTGGGATACGGGGAAAGAATGAAGAGGATGGGGGACGCAGGGAGGGGGTTGGGGGGAAGCAGAGAAGGGGATGGGGGAAGCAGGGCACGGGATGGGGGAAGGAGGGAGGGGGATGGGGGGGGGGAAGAAGAGAAGGGGACATGGGGAAGGAGGGAAGGGGAGGGGGGAAGCAGAAAACCGTTCGGGGGGAAGCAGGGATTGGGATAAGGGGAAAGAATGAAGAGGATGGGGGACGCAGGGAGGGGGTTGGGGGGAAGCAGGGAAGGGGATGGGGGGAAGCAGGGCACGGGATGGGGGGAAGCAGGGCAGGGGATGGGGGGAAGCAGGGAAGGGGATGGGGGGAAGCAGGGAAGGGGACATGGGGAAGGAGGGAAGGGGAGGGGGAAGCAGAAAAGCGGATGGGGGGAAGCAGGGATTGGGATAAGGGGAAAGAATGAAGAGGATGGGGGACGCAGGGAGGGGGTTGGGGGGAAGCAGGGAAGGGGATGGGGGGAAGCAGGGCACGGGATGGGGGGAAGCAGGGAAGGGGATGGGGGGAAGCAGGGAAGGGGATGGGGGGAAGCAGGGAAGGGGACATGGGGAAGGAGGGAAGGGGAGGGGGGAAGCAGAAAAGCGGATGGGGGGAAGCAGGGATTGGGATAAGGGGAAAGAATGAAGAGGATGGGGGACGCAGGGAGGGGATTGGGGGGAAGCAGGGAAGGGGATGGGGGGAAGCAGGGCACGGGATGGGGGGAAGCAGGGTGGGGGATGGGGGGAAGCAGGGAGGTGGAGGGGGGCGAGACGGGAATCTGATGGGGGGGAAGAAGGGAAGGGGATGGGGGGAAGCAGGGAAGGGGATGGGAGGGAGCAGGAAAGGGGAGGGGGAGAAGCTGGGAAGGGGACTTGGGGAAGCAGGGAAGAGGAGGGGGGGAAGCAGAGAAGGGGACATGGGGAAGGAGGGAAGGGGAGGGGGGAAGCTGGAAACCGGATGGGGGGAAGCAGACGGGAAGGGAGGCGGGAGGGAAGGCGGTCGCGATGAGCAGAGGATGGCAGGGCGACGGGGAAAGCGAGGGCGACGGGTAGGGTCGCGAGTGCGACGGGAAAAGCGAGGGCGACGGGGAAAGCGAGGGTGACGGGGAATGCGCGCGCGACGGGGAAAGCGAGGGCGACGGGGAAAGCGAGGGCGACGTGGAAAGCGAGGGCGACGGGGAACGCGAGGGCGACAGGGAAAGCGACGGCGACGGGGAAAGCGTGCGCGACGAGGAAAGCGTGCGCGACGGGGACAGTGTGGGTGACGGGGAGGCGGGTAGGGGCGACGGGGAGAGGATTGACGTTTGGACGAAGGGAGGGCGACGAGAAGAACGGACGGCGACGGGTAGAAGCGCGGGCAACGGGAAGGGAGGTTGACGGGAAGGGAGGGCGACGGGAACCGAAGGGGTGATCATGAGGTTGCGATACTGTGGTGGCCAATGTGCGGGACGCAGTGGGCGAGGCGTGTGTGATACCATGCGCGATTCGTGCGATTTGATTTACGTACGCGAGGTTTCCACGGCGCCTCGAGCCGTGCCGGCATCGGAGGGCTCCGCCATTCCAGTAGCGTGGTGCAACTTATCCCCAACAGCTAGATGTGCGAGGCGCTTTTCACGGACGATGGTGCTGTAGGAACGGTGGGTTACTCTAAAAAGTGAAGGGGATGGTGTGGTTGACGACGAGCTGGAGGGGAATGTGCCCTCCCGTCCTTGTGTGTTGTGTTTGCGTCGTCTGTGTTTGTCGCAGGGATTCGCCTACGGCACGAACCTGTTCTCACTGGTTTGGGTGTGTCAACAGGTTAGGTTGGTTTGGTTTGGGGTTGAGGGTACTGTTTTCTTGGTTTCGTCACTCTCACCCTTCCTCTCGTGCAAAACTTCGTTGCTCGTGCACCAATCCAAGGTGCCAAAACCCAACCAAGTGTAATACGCTAGTAAATATGAGACGCGGGTTTTAAAGCTGCGGTCTACATACCTCAAGCGAGAGGAAACAGGGTAACACTGTCCCAAAAAGTACCTCTTTGCGGAGGAACGAAAGTCGAGGCGGAAGGAGGCAAGGGGGTGGGGATGACCAAAACTCTGCAGACCATGGTTGCCTGTTTGCTCAGTCGATAGACCCCTAGCGATTCGGGGACATCCGAAAAAACGTGGGTTCCAAATCCTGCCCTGAACATACCTCGAAAGTTGCTTTGGGGTACTTGTTTCGAAAGTATGTTCAGAATGCCGGGCAAGATGCTTTTCGAGCGGACCGCGCGTAAGTCTCTCCCAATAATTTCGGAACCAATCGTCAAGAACCGAATGTTTGGTTCGGACATTTCTCTGATTGGCTGAGTGCCCAGTTCATTTCGTTTGGAAGATTCGTACATTGGATTTCCAGTTCTGTTGGAAGCAATTTAATTGGCTGATGTACTCGACACGTGTAAACAGTGCCCCCGATAAACCTCGTTAGTACTAGTAACTGTAGATTTAATTCGTATATGAAGCGAATACACTTCATACAGTTCGTATTCATTTCAATTACTTTCTATTATATTTGAAATTCATATTGCAATTTATAACTGAATATCGTGCTCGTTTTAGTATTCGAAATTATGGCAAATCCACATTTTATTGCTAGCAGACACTTTATAAACTTGCTTTTATGCTTGGTGTTCGTGAAACTGTAGACTTCATACACCTTTTACCTTTTTCCTTTTTTTTGCTGAAATTTGCACAAATTAACAGTAAAGATGCATATCCAAAAACAATTATATCTATTCATGATTCAGGATGCTATTATAATACCCGCTCGGGTTTAGGGAAGAGCTCCCGCTGCTCAAGGAACTATCTGTGGGGCCAGCACAGTAAAGTTGCAGTGTGAACAAATCACAAAATCTTGCCAGCAACAACTGTCATCGTAAAGATTACAAGAGGACACCTGCAAAGAAAAACAGACGTACTGCAAGAGGAAACATACGAGGTGCAATATAGAACAACAAGCAATCAGAAATCGCATGCACGTTGGCCGACAACAGGCCTGGAAAAAAAAAAAAACAGAAACACACGGGAACAAGATCGCAATGCGAACATATCGAGGAAAAAAAGCGCAAATAAAATATACGACGTGCAGTAAAACAGTCGAGCAGGTTGAAGAAAAACACACAAGCCATTTGCTTACCTTGGCACGACGACCACGCTCGACATTGAAACATATCTACGGGAGAAACAGGCGTGGAAGAAACACGCGCGAGCAGATACAAATGCGAACATTAGATAAAAATGAAAAGAAAAATGGAAGAAAGGGATTAGTCGTCAAACGCAGGAAAAAAACGGAACATGAAGTTAAAACTTGGACTCGGCGACTGCCACTAGTGGACTCCAGGAACATATGCGAGGAAGAACAGCAGCAACTGCAGTCACAAAACTAGAGGAACAGGTGGACTGCGGTAACAAGCTTGGAGCATGAAAACGACTGCAGTCATGGAGTTGAGGCTTGTCAATGGGAATGACTTTCTACGGGCACTTCCTGCTTGTAAGAACGAGCGGGAGATGACGAGAGGTGGGTGGGTGGGGGAGTGGCTGGGTTTGGGCACCTCACTTGGCGACAAAACCTGCCACAGTCTTACCAGCGAGGCAACCGCAAGCGTGGCGTGTAAGCCATTGATTTGGCCCCCTCAGTGCCTCAGCAGTCGCAAAGCAGCTTTTGTTGTTGCTTGCGACTGATTGGTCAGTCTGTCAGCAGCGTCGTGACGGGCCTGAGCAGCGATTGGCCGCGGAAGCATCTCGGGCGAACAGGGGTACGCTGCTCAACTGTCGCAATGGGCTGCGCTGCTGCCAGCTAGACAAATTATGATTCTTTTTTACAGCAGGGCTGTTTCGCAACCCAATAGTACACCTCAATTACAAAGAAAGACATAACGACTTACTTGCTCTGTTTCATTCAATGTACATTTCGGAGATCAACAAGCTGGAAAAAAAAAGATATCACAAATGGTTACAAATTAGTGCGAGATCTGTCCACAGTCGCAAACAAGCCAACGCATTGGTTGGATGGATACTGAGATGTCCATAACTTCATAGAAATATATGAAAACATAATACAAAACATTGTAAAATATTTAATGATCCTCATATACAGCTATGTATAGGCATATATGCACTTTTTGATCAATTTTTACGGATACATGCACACAAAAAAAGATTTGATGTAAATGTATGTACCTTAATGATAAAATATTTGTATTCAAAACTTCATATATTAGGTCTACCAAAATAAATTGTTCCGAATTCCTCTCGATTTGGATAATACCTTATCTGCAACCATATAGACCTGACGTATAAAGAAAACAACTTAAAAAAAAAAAGAATCTCTCTCTCTCTCTCTCTCTCTCTCTC